TTTAATTGAATTTAGTTAGTTTTAGTAATTACTTAAAAAGAAACTGTTTAAGTAATACAGGTAGAAGATAGTGAAATTTGTTGTATTCGGAATGAATAATGATATTGTAAAACATAGACTTTGAAAAAAATAATTTGACGAAATGAAAGGTTTTGTTTTAATTGCCGATATGTTTATTGCCTTTGTAATGTTAATCACATGTAGAGTACATGTACTTGTCCGATATACTCAAAGTTTATTTAATACTCGCACAATACTGGATGTTTTTACAACACTGACCCAGATATTCTGCTAGGAGTCTACTAGTACACTGAATAACATGTACACAAAGATGTCAATGTAAGGTTACCTCAGATTCTCCATTGGTAATATTTGACACACAACTCCGAAAGATTCCTTGCTATAGGCATATACATTTAATTGCTTATTTATCAAAATGAACTTATTTTATGATGACGAAACAGACAATTAATTCAACTAGTATTCAGATAATCTACACACTTTAGTGTATTTATAACATTTTGCAGAAACCTTACACTTTGAGACTGATTCCACTGTACATTCTTAAATCAAACCAACCAAACAGATGAGACCAATCAAATGCTCACTTCATTGAGTATAGAGAAAGTTCAAACTTTATTTAAATATTTTTAAGTCTTACAACTTTATGGAATTTGATTCATAAAAAGATAAGAGATTAAAAATAAAACGTGGAAATCCTAATTAGTTAAAGATAAATTATTTTGAAGCTATCCAAAAGAGGGCCTTATGTAAATAGATAATTTTTTACTCGTTTAGATGAAAAGAATTGAGGACCTATGCACTAGTAGTCATGCATGGTAGTTGAAGTCGTAAATGGTGAATAAGGTTTCAATTTATGATCCGAAAGTCGAATAATGAAGCAGTAGCAATACAGATTAACTCAACAATAATCATGCTACGATTCCTCACAATTCAGAGTATTTTACAATTATTTTCTTAAAGATATTATGAGAAGGCTATTCATTTGAGTACATTTGGTTTCGATTACCTCAGTTATGTAACAATTCAAATGAAATTTCGTATATACATTCACGTGTTCAACCCTACTTTTGTTATAATGAAGACTTGCATGTATTGTGTGATCAGTCACGTGCATTAATATAGCTAAATGACAACTGTTCACTGTAAACCGAGCTAATAATGTAAAGCTTCAGGATGGATAGCTATCGAAAAGACTAGGCTAACTAGCAAAGAAAGTTGTGTTACTTAGTGGAAATTACACAATAATAAGCAAATATTTTTATTACATATGGATTGTGACTAACACTGGAACACAGAATGCACACCCCATCCGATTTGTGATCAGTTAGCTGGATGTCCCTAGTCCGTAATGTTGATGTTCGCATTGAAATCGGGACCTAAATATATTAAAATTGTGTAAATAAAGGAATTATCATGATAACGTGCAGAGGATTCACATATTCCAGTACAGACTGGTCAACTATAGCTTATAATATCAACGATGAGAATATTCAATTAACAGAAACCTTAACGAAAATAATAGATCTGATTAAGATCCATTTAAAAGAGTACATGAATGCAAGGTTCGGATTTTCGGAATCATTCACCAGCCTACCAACTCGAGACCTGACTATTAGACTTAAATTTTTATTCACTATGTGAAATTCTGACATTATTTGCTAATTTATTTTATAATTTGACGTGGTTCTTCACTACTTTTATTTATACACTTTCCTTCTTGTATTAAATGTAATTTATGACCATGAACGCTTTCCACCTACCTATAAATTTCTCTATCGACAACTAGCATTTCATTTTATGAAACTAGTTTTTCGTACAAACCTATTGATTTATGATTTACTATGGTTACTCATTAATACTTCAGACATTGTTATGTAGATTTTTGCATACAATATTATTTTATGACTATAATATACCTATGTTGAAAGAAATATCCGTTCGAATGCACAAATTATCGATTGACAGTATATATCTATTATGAAGAATGAATTTTGATGGGAACAGATGAATCAATCGAAGCACCCTTTTTAACAAACCAATTGAAATATCTAAAATTATGCAAAATAGAATTATGACAATGTTTTTTTTAAACAGAAAAACCTATAAGCTGTAAGATTCATAATTGTTTAGATGAAAATAACAAGAACAAAAACCTATCTAAAGTTTGTGCTGATGATGTCGTTCAGAAGAACGATGAAAGCTCCACGACCAAAACATCCAGCTCAGAGAACAAAAATCCATCAAAATCATCCACCTGAGCTATAAATCTTCTCCATCATCACAAAAACATACAAAGTAGTTCTCATGATAAATTTGGAACACATAAACTTATAGCTAATCGTTCTTTTTATAGAATCACAAAAAAGCCTGAAATAAACTACATTATACGTAAACCAGCGATTAACAAAATATCAAGACAATCGCAACTACCAAGTATTAAAATTGATTACTGTGTAAATTAGATACAGAAATTCGACGCTCGGTTTAATCGACTGATCATCAAACTTCATTTTGTTAGTTTAATCATCTCAATTAGCAATCATCATTATCAGTAGTATGGGAGGAAAACAACAGTTCATACTATCATAATACTTTTTATTGTTGAATCAAAATTCATTGTTAACTTAATCAGGTTTATTCAACACTTTATATACGTCAGCTAATATGTAAAGCTTTAAAGATCATTTTATGTGAAGTAGTTTCAATACAGTTGATAAAAGGATAAATTAATCGAAATGTTTTGATAATGATAACTCCAAGATAAATCATTTCTTCCATTGTACTCAAACGAAACATGTGAATTCATCGAAAAGCCACTAAATAGTAGTAATCAGTTAAGTTTGTACTTACTGAAATCATCTAATAAATTACACTGAAAAGAAGTGATTGTAAATTTGGAAAACTTAATCGACAAAATATTTTAATTACTTTGAAAAAAATGAAAACTTCATTTTATAATTTTCAAATAACATATCATACCATACTAGAGAATTACTTGACTAAGTTATTGTTTCAGTTAAACAGGTTTGTGGCTATCACACTGCCAACGTTGGACTTGATAGTTTCAAATAAATTAAGCATTGGGTAGAAAGTTAATAATAAATACATCTTTGTGATAACTCGGTGAGCTTTTATTGGGATATCATAGAAATATATTAAATACTAGTTAAATGGGTATTTAAATTCGAGTGTAACTCAGTGACAAATTTTTGTTTCTTGTAACCAGCTTTGAGCTACACTTCATACCTGAAATCTAGTGATACAACCCGAAATAGGTAGAGTGCAATTCGCATCTGCTTCCCAACCAGCAGTTAAAGACCAACTGTTAAAACAAAGCCCACGAAACAGAATAAAAGTTACGGTTTCTATGTAATATATTAACCAAGTAAAATATGCTTTAATTAAAACGACCGATCTATTAAGAACACTAAATAAAAAGTATTTTCACTTGAGATTTACTTTTATCTAACTAGAATTTCTTTCAGGTGAATGTCCATCTGATGAGGTGGGGAAAAAACCATAATAAAAGTTTGAATTGCGTAAAATATCGCCGAATTAATGAATATTCCAAAAATATATGATTTATTTGGATAGTAAAATTAACAAAACAAAATATAGTCATTAGAAGAAATAATATTTTTAGAGTATGATATCATTTAGCTAATAACATAAACACATGCTAGTTGGAACTCCGAAAGTAAGGTGTACATATAATCTTGAGGAACCCGATATTTCCTGTGGAGTTCAAACAATCAACATAAAAACCCAGTTTGACAAATTAAAAACATGAACTAATACATTATCATGTTTAGAGTAATCAAGAATGTCTAGATCGAAATAACAAAATTGCATTTAGTTAAAGGTAAAATTGACAGAACCAATAGGATAGTTGAGTTCTACTTGAAAGAGTATACTCTACGCAACATAAAAAACTCAGTTCCCTAGTGTATTTATTTAATGTTCTATTCTCAATAATATCACTCTTCACTGATTAGTTTTATATGAGCGTTGTATTTCGTATCTACGCATCAGCAAGCTACACACATATTTTGCTTTTTAATAGGAGCACAAGTAATAAACAGAAGAGCTGAGAGCTGTACTCGCTCTTTACTAGGTAATCAGATAGAAATTTCATTTGCGTTACAGATAGCTGAAGTCAACACTTTTGAAACATCATACTCGTTAGAAAATGAACAATAAAAATGTATTTTAAGACACTTCCGAAAACAAACATACTAGTTGACTGACTATGAATAGAAAAGAATATTTATCACATAAATAACCAAAAAAGCAATATGTTATTGTTTCGTGAATAACCAGAAGTCATAAGTGTACATTAATCACAGTATTGACAGATTGTTGTGGATTAACTTTTAATTCAACAAAGACATAAATCAATTGTTAGAGGACTTTAAATAAAGTAATTATTTTTCTTACAAGAAAAAAAATTACCACAAAGTACTAATATTGAAGGATGGAAGCAAATCACTGAAACAAAATCCATAACAACAAGAAACAAGATAACAACGATGGGTAGTAAGGTGTAAATGCTTAAACAGAAAAGAATTCATTTGACAGTGCTATTTTACTAGATAAGTTGACTATTCTCACGTTCGCACCTCATATTGGCCAGCTTTCGTTGCGTATTTGACTCCTTTAAATGGTTTATATTCTAAAAGGAGAAAATAGATAGGAACACAAATAAAAATAATATTTAATAGAGAATTATGGGTCACTTAATATATATTTATAAGAAAATTAACAATCACATTGGAGTTAGTCACTTGATACAAAGATGAGATAGCGAAAAGAAAAAACGACCCAAGAAACCCAACATAGCCCGCAAGAACAAACAAATTAATTTCAAATCAACGTTCTCTGTTATTTCAGTTAATTCATTTTACCACAAATAAACGAAATTAAGCCTTGATATATATATATATATATATATATATATATATATATATATATCGGTTTACTGGATAACAAATTATTCAAATGTCAAATAATTAACAAGCCGTTAACTTACTTGGATGCATTTGTGATAAAAAAGATTCTTAACTTTGGTTTTAGTAGATCGCCCCCAATTACAAAGCCCTTTTAAGTTAAAAAAAAGCGGGATATCCAACTAGAGCACAACTGGGTAAATAATCTAGAAAATAGGGGGTTATGTCCTATGACTCTGTCAATCATCACGTGAAACATATGATCTCATCCCCGTGTTGAACCAACGGTGCTTGAACCAGAACCATGAGTCAACTCTGAGTCTTTATTGGTCCTCTGTATAGCAACTTCTCGCCTACCCAGCCCGTCCAGTCCAGAACACAAATATCAACCTCCGCTATATGAATCGTATATTTCAGATATATTTGGTTTATATATAAGCACACCAGTCCGCACCACACCATAAATGAAAAATAATAATTATACAAGATCAGGTCAGAAGTGGTCGTGAATGAGAGACACTGTAACTGACAAATTGGGAATAAGTTAAAAAGTCGTATAACAGCAGCCAATAGGTCAAATGAAAGCTCATAATAAGAGGAATATATATATAACGTAGTTGCTTAGTAACTACACAATAAGAATAGACCATTATTACATTTAATAATGGTCTATACGTAACTACAAGCCGTTACCGTTCATTTATTCTTCGGATATAACAGTGGCACAGTATATCTTTTGGAACTAAAAATAACTACTTGTAAGTAGTTCGAATACTCACATTAAATTATACGGCAGTCGGCCATATACACAAAAAAAATATCTGTGAGAACTATTTTAACTGAATATCTGTTCACACGCAATCAAAAATAAAATTGGATTTGATTACTAATGTGAGACGTAAATAAGTACTAATAAATGATTTAGGTGGCAATTATATGCCAGTCATCTTAAGAGCTAGTAAAGGCTTTTACTGTAATATTTCAGATAAAATAGGATAAAACATACCTCTCCATAAATGTCAACTCTAGCAATTTTCAACCCAGATACGACGAATTGTGGAATACAAAAGTTTACGAGGATTACAGGATTTGATGGTAATGTAGTAAGACCACTAACTAAATCGATCTACAAGGATTTTAAGAGTGAGAACACATGGTTGGAAGGTTATACGATATAATCTAATTTAGAAAGTGATTAGCAGGAATCACTAATTTTAATATCACAAACTGACCTTATTTAAACAACAGTTTAAGACCAGGAAGCACCGTAAAATGTCTTACTTCTAAGCAATGTATATGCGATCCTACCGAAAATCGAACATAGGACCTTCACAGCCTCGCAACGAGAGCTTAACCTTTGAACCAATAAGTTGGCATCCAGAATAACAATCAACCCAACTTATGCTAAAAAATTAGTAACTTGTCTGGACAAGTTTAGACTTATGATAACAATTAGAATAATACACTTAATAAGACATTTTAGAGAGTTATGTGGAAGTTATTTTGTGTAGAAACGTCTTTTATTCATTAAAAACCGATAAATTTATTGTTCACTTGTTCGATTCGTTTATTTGAGATGGGAAGGATTTGCATGACGGGTGGGGTTTATGAGCATTTATGAACCGCCTTGAAATTACCAATTGACCGTTTGATTACTTTTCATTTTAATTACTATATTTTTGCAGGTTATTTAAAAAAAATTCAAATGTGAAATACTGAAGATTATGATGTATTTACATGTTTAATTCAAGCTTTTAGTTTTTACAGTTTTTCCCTTAATCCATAAGATACAACATAACCATTACAAAATATTCAACAACATATCTACTATCCAATTTCCATAAATAGTACCAATCTTTACGCAATATGTCATGTGAATTTACGGTTAAAGTAATTCTTAATGTTACATAAAACAACATTTATTCATTAAGTATTATTTTTATTTTAACACATAGATATTGGTACAAGGAGGCACCAAATACATATGCGCCACACAAAGCCCATTTGATTTGTGAGAGGGATGCGACACTACCCGGGTGCCCAAACCGAAGCAGGTGGTTTTCTTAGAAGGCCACAACCGGAGCCTTCGACCTGAAGGACTGATCCACAAGGCAGTGGAGCATCGTAAGGAGATGCAGTCCCATGGAAGCCAGTGACCAACAATTGGTTCATACGCCATTTGTTCCTTCAGGATACTGGAGCCCATGTGCACCTTTGGTTTGGAATCCGGTTAAAGCGCCGGACATTCGCTTTTCGTCCTCTCATTTTCGTAAACAACACCCCTGCCACGAGAAGGCAGTGAGTAGGACTTCCGTGGCAGAGGCTATATACGTGTGGCCATGTGAGAGCATTTCGAGAGAGAGAGAGAGGGGAGTCTCTCCACTCTCGGCAGTACCAGGGCATAACATCTTAATTTAATTTGATAAAAATCAACGCAAGGTTTAAACTTTAATACTTGATCAAACTATTCAAAGACAGTAGTCATAGTGGATAACGAATTTTCAAATATATGCACTTTTACTGCAAACTAGACAAATGAAAACATTAGGAAATTAAGTAAAACTCACACTACTTTTCATTGAAGGATTTGGAGATTTTGTTTCAATTCGACCAATATCCCATTGAAACAATTTTGTTGTTACATCAAAGCTAGTTCGTCCAACACTTGGAGATGCTGTGATATTTAAAACTTCTGGTGGTAACTGGATGGTAAGTTTTACATTTTCAACCTGTAAGAGGTGGGAAATCAGCATGAATAATATATAATTCGAATATAAAGTAAATACTCTTGTATAATCCTTTTTCGCTCTGTAAATTGGCTGAAAGTTTTTTAATTATTAAGTCAACAGTTTGAGCATATTAAAGTTCTAATCTAATCAGCTTTTACCAGACGATAAAGCTTCCAATTTAGTATATAATCTTGTACGCAGTTATTAATTCTCATGAATATGTTGCTGACGGCAAAACTTTGGTTTTTTGTTTTAATTACGCTACCATTATTCTCTCTATATTAATCAGAGTTAATTATTTGATAGTGAAAAAAAAGTCAAATGATTTACTGAACCGATTATCAAATTTAAAACTGCAGGTTATGATTGTTTTACAAGAATAACACTGATTACAGTTGACGTTATAATAAAGTCAAAAAGATCATCTATATCAGCTCCAAGTACAATGAAATATAACTTGATTTTAACGTCTTTTACCAGATTTTTACGAGGAAATAAATAACTATTCCGGAGACGACACTCCCGATCATCTAGTTACTTCAAATCACTTCTTATTAACAAATAGTGCACACGATGTCAGGTCATTTAGGCTAGTATCAATATCAGAACTTAATCGATAGAATCTAATCAACGCAAGAGATTGGATAAGTATAAAAATTAATTACTACTCAGTGGTCGGTTGGAGTAGATATCTGAGTGCATAAGTGTATATTTAGAATGATTTGTGTAATATTTTTTTCAAAACAGAAAGACAACTAACACGTCTGATTAAAAAAATATGATATGAGATTATTACTGTTTACATAACTCTACATGAAGGTTTTTACTTACAGGTTTACCCATTGTTTTTGGTACTACCACTACATCTAAACGACCTCCACGTTCACGGAGAAGAACATTATGTCTTAGTATGATAGGAAGTGATACAGGGCTATTATTGATTTGTAAATAAATAAAAAGACATTTTATGTTAAACTGTATTGAGAAATCTGTGAACGAAATTAACATTCTTACACAATAATATATTTTATGAACAAATGACTAATTAATCAAGTTATTTTTCTTTAGATCAATAAATGCTTCGATGCAATTAATCTGAATGAAGTACAAATAAACGACTTCTGAAACTTAACAAGGCGCCGGATATGGTTTTCAGATTATTTAAGTTGTAGTCATCAAGATAATAAAGAATGGAAGTTTCACAATAAACAAGAAGATTCATTTCTGTTAGTGAAGGAACTATATGCTTAGTGTTATTTTTTTATTCGTTTTTATGATGATAAGAAGACAGAAAACCTGAATATATTGAGTAACAATGGAAAACGCCTTATCCCTATTACAAAACAATATAGTACGACTTAGTTAATGAACATGCAATCTTTCCAATAATCTTCGTGCTTTTAATTCAATTAAACAGCCAACCACCTTGGGTTCGCACTATTATACATAAAAAACCTTGGGGACAGTGAAGTATCAAGAAATACTCCATATAATACAATGTAGTGTTGTATAGGAATAGAAGGAAAATCAGATGATCAATAATCAAATAGGATAGAACTGTGAACACTAAACAGTATGGTTAAGATAATTTATAAACAGAAAAGATGCATTAAACCGTTTCTAAAACAAAAAGCCCTTTAGTATATATCAATAAGTAATTCCAGACATCGTTCGATGCTGCTTTTGCGTAAGTGCGAAAATCTGAACATTATCTGAAGTGATTAAAAGCAAGGCAATATACAGATTTCCAAAAGACCCCTTATTACATTTTACTCACCTTAATGAGCTTACATGATAATTGAACAAACAAAACTTTCCATCAGGCGGTATAAACGATAGGATTCTTTCTCTCTTCCAGCGTGAGAAGCGAATACAAGGATGAAGGTTGGCATCATCGATCAGCCGATGATTTGTGAAAGCCAGTGTTATATCTGGAGTTCCGGATAATTTAATTAGACATTCAACCTATTAGCGAACGATGAAAAATATGATTAAGTATTTGTCTGGATACTACTTACAAATAGTATTCATCTTGTGTACGACAGCTGAATGCGACAGCCCATACACATTTCAAATAAATAACATACGGATGCATATAGTAAGAAAGTATACTAACTGCAGAGATACACTCAAGACTAGTCAAACTACATTTATAGACTTCCCAATGTACAATAAAAAAGAAGGTAGGGGAAGTAATAAAACTATTTAAGTATACTCATTGAAATATTAATTAAGATTAAAACTGTTCAGCTAAAATGAGGACCACAGATATTCTTCTGCTAATATAATTACAGTGACAACGTAACCGAGCGATAAAGAAGAATATAAGCATCAACATCTATGGTTAAAAATATCTAACAAGAGCGATTCCCAATACACTTTTTAACATGTAATTCAGATTTAATGAGTCCTGTTGGGATTGTAATGGGATCTGCTATATTTGAAGCGATTAAGAGTTCACATAGTCTGAGAACGGAACAAAGACTCTGTGACCAAAGACCAATAAGCTAGATATTCTGATGCGTCCCAGCCCCGCTGACTTGAGAGAGAAGTTTAAGTCCGAAACAGGGAAATATATTCCGCAAGCAGCCAGAAGCACGAGCAACCACGACAATTCTAGTCTGAACTATATTCATTTATATATTGGTTTGTGTTGTATTAATCTGCTCACTGTAATTTAGACACTTGATCCACCATGTAATTTTCTGTGTGAGTCTGATTGAGCACATGTCAATTTTTAATCTATTCTCCGACTGGTTGTAATACACACACAATCAATAATTTATCCATACTTGATTAACACTCATAAATATATATGGATTTTTAACACACACGCACAATCTTGGTTTCTTTATGTGCTTGATTCCTGTACGCTTGCGGATTTTACCAATCTTTAACAATAAACTATCTCTATAACTGATGTTCAGGCTTTTGAGTAATCTCGAGTAAATCCATAATTCTACTAGGAGATTTAGCCTGCATTAAATACTCAGTTGACGGGATACTATTTATTGGAGTCAGATGTAGAGAATACTACACTGAGTGATCATTAAATTGAATTAAACGGAATCAATGTTGAATAAAAATCATAATGATTAATCACTCTAATTTTGACCTTTCATCCCGTCATGACAGAATCACCACTGGGTCCTTTTCTACTACATTTTTCCATAGTCACTCTACAGAATACTGTTCTTCAATCAGCATAAGATATATGAATTATATCCTGATAGTCTATTTCACGAAGAGTGAACTAAATGATGCCCTAGAGAAGTTCAATAATTCTCACCCGTCAGTTACGTTGAGAGGAGAGCTCAGAGTTTATTACTGTGTTTAACGGGAACGAAGACTAGACTCTGTACGTTGTTACTGGCTTCTTCCTAATTATGTAACCGATCACTAACATTTGATATTTTCAATCAGACTTTATTATTTATTTGGACACATAAATACTGGTGCAAGGGGCACCAGATATATAAGCGCCACACAAATCTCATTTGATTTGTGTGAGGGATGTGATACTGCCGGGTGCCCAAACCGAAGCAGGTGGTTTTCTTAGAAGGCCACAACCGGAGCCTTCGACCTAAAGGTCTAATGCACAAGGCAGTGGAGCATCGTAGGGAGATGCAGTCCCATGGAAGCCGGTGACCAACGATTGGTTCATACGCCATTTGTTCTGTCAAGGTACTGCAGTCCATGTGCACCATTGGTTGGAATCAGGGTTTTCCAACTCCCGTAGGTCGACTCTCCGTGTTCACCAAACCGTTTAAAAAACCGGACATTCGCTTTTCGTTCTCTCAATTCCGTAAACAACACCCCCTCCACGAGAAGGCAGTGAGTAGGACTTTCCTTGCAGAGGCTATATACTCGTGGCCATGTAAGTGCATTTCGAGAGGGAGAGCGGACGCTCCCTACTCTCGGCCGCACCAGGGCATTTGGAGGTAACAGACTTATTTACTAAAGACCTATCTATTTGGTTGTAAACTAATTTATCGAATAACTAAAAATACAAATTTACAGCTTTAGTAAATGCTGTTATCAATGAAAACATCTGTCCACTGAGCCATTTCGTTAATGCTGGTTACTGTTCTTGACCATTCAACAACAAAGATTACAATAAAGAACATATAAAGACCTACTGATCCGTGAATCTCCTTGGAAATTACATAACCAGAACGATCGATATCGCGTCTATCTTTTCAATCAGGTCGAAATACGTTTCATTGCTAGTGTAATTCACACCGGAACGTCTCCAACGTATATTCGATAACTGGTTTGTAGGGAGTGTGGACCCAATAATCGTGTTTTTTCCAGTAACCGCATCTGTTAGTGATTGAAGGAAGTTGGGAGGACGCACAATTTCTTTTAGAATATTAGATTCGGTGGCCAGTGGGAAACCACCATCAAGCATTTCATCTAAAATCTATTAGTATGAATTATTTTAACAAGGGGTATCTAACCTCGTATATTGAAACTACATTTTCTTTGACTGATGTTTCAGTAACGGAGCCAAAATAATCTTCGATTATTGAATGAACGCAATCTAAAAACTCAATCACGAGTAAGGGAGGTACTAAGATAGTATGGGTTATTAAATACTGACGACATACGCTCATTAACACACACAGCTAGAAAATATAAATTGTTGCGCAAAATATGAATGAGTGAATTGCTTGGAGTTTCCAGAACGGGTGGCACATCACCTGCTGCATATTTTGTGACGGCATCAAAAAAGGTGTCGTAAACTGTTTTTGAAATGTTTTTTGTCCAGTGTTTTTCTAAACATATTTCACTATAAATGGATAAATGAGTAATTCGATAATTACTTCGACTGATTTATAATGAACAAACTTTGCAACATATTTATACATTCATTAAAAAGTCTTGTAGTTACTAATCACTGGATCTAACATAACTACTGAAATAGAAACAAAAAGAGGAATCAGGATAATTTTATCCAACAGATAAAGAAAAAAATTGTAAGTTAATACACTTACGAAGTCAGATTTTACTTTATTCTCAATTATTAGGTACAGATTGACGAATCCAACTAAGGGTTAAAGTAATTTTATATGGGTACTATTCTACGCTCTTAAAAATGTAGATAAGGATTAAAATCTGGTACGAGAACCTGTATCATCATTAACTTCTATTTGTCAAATAAACTTTAAGGGATCATCGCGCTAGGAAAAAGACTCGATCACGAGCAAACGACTAATGGTTCTATTCTAATATAATTTACTTATTCCCTTTAAAACTAGTTTGCTTCCAGTTTACAAGCAACTTGAAAAACAAGATTTGGATCAGGTCTGAAGGTCCATTTAAGGCAAATAGTGTAGCTATATATAAGATAGGACTTCACATTGTTAATTCACATCAATTAGTCTATTTCACCAGTTTTTTTTCACACAAACTGTTAATAAACCCTTATGAAAATTGAATTGTTTATTTTTATGTACAATTAATAAATAATTGACTAAAATTCACTCGTTTATTATTGTGACAGATTTTTTTCTGTCTTAAAAAAAACTGACAAAACGAGTAATTGTGGAAAAATGTAATTAATTACATACACGTTTTAAAAAAATAGTAGATTTTATTGGGAAATTGGGTGAATTTAACAGTGTAATACATCGATAACTGTTTGTTTTTGATTTTTTTATTCGACAAAATGTACATAACGTTTGAGTTTCTTTACAGTCCTGCCTGAACGTGTTAAGCAAGTAGGTTTGGTACTCGGTTTTTCATCCTCCTCTGCTCTAGTAGTGGTTAGTGGGAGGGGTTGATTAATTGCAGTGCTATCTTCTTTGTCTTGTTGCGCTTCGTAGAAGGCTGGCTTCATTCTATCAATAGCGATAGTCTCCTTCTTTCCGCACTTGTTGATTATAAAGTGTTTACTTGTTCTTTTGACTACTTGATGTGGTCCCTCGTAAGGTTGTTTTAGTGGCTTTTTAACAGCGTCAACTCGAACGAAGACAAATTTGCATGTTTCTAGGTTTTTGTCGAATTGTATTCGATTATTATTATCATCTGAATGTGATGAGTTGAGGGGATTCACTGGGGGACCAAACAATATATGAACTCAAAAATGATAACAGAGTTATTAAGTACAAATAGTAATGTTAATATATATCAGTTAAATGTTAAAAACACAACAAAAATTAGAGACGTTACAATTATCTGGTGAGCCTCGAGTGTATTATGGTCGTTGTATTGCTTACATTTTTACTTGACACACTAGTTTGTTTTTCACATTATGCACTCCCCAAATAAACTTATTAATACCGACTGTCCTCCAGTGAATCCCCTCAACTCATCACATTCAGATGATGACATTTTAAGCTCAGTTAATGCTATTTCCGAGTTCAGACTACCGGCATACAGTGCCAACAAACCAGGATCTGGTTCGCGCACGTAGAAGCCTTATTCCTAGCGAGAGGCATACGCTCGCAGGCGACCAAATATGCCTGTTGTCGGCGCACTTCCCATCGAAATCGCTACGGAAGTCGGGGATTTGATCGACCATGTACCAGAGACTGATTTTTATGACAAAACTAAAGCTGCCGTAATCCAACGTACATCACTCTCTGATGAAAAACGACTACAGCAACTGCTCACATCATGCGAACTAAGGGAACAAGAGACCTTCGCAGTTGCTACGACATATGAAACAGTTAGCGAGTCCATATAAATTAGATGAAGCATTACTTAAACAAATGTGGTTCCAACGATTACCACATAACGTGAGAGACTCTTAGTGTGTCGGGAGGTTCCGTCAATCTAGAAGACCTAGCAGATATGGCGGACAAGATTATGGAGATCTACCCTGACAGTCATTGCCTAAATGAGATACTAACTTCTGGTAAAGACGATACGAACACCACATTCAATATCCAACAGCAGTCAACGCAGTTGGCCACGCAGTTAGCGTCACTGCAGGCGACTATAGCAACGATTCAGTCCCGACCTATTAGATCCACATCCAGAAAACGATCAGTGTCCAGACAGCGCCCTATGTCACCCAAGCGGGCAGCTGATATTTGTTGGTATCATTTGAAGTATGGTGAGAAAGCACGTCGTTGCACCCAACCCTGAAACTTTACAACAAACAAGTAAGAAAACCAGAGTAACCGGCCGGCCAGACAGTAATGGCGGTGTCTGTTACTGGCCAACACGCTAGCCACCTTTTTCACATCAGGGACCGTATTTCTGGCTCAGACTTTTAGTCGACACAGGAGCAGAAATCAGCATCGTCCCACGTCACCTCTCACGACGACAACAAACGACACATACCAAACTGTCTCTTATCGCGGCTAACAACACAGTCATTAGAACTTACGGTGAACAATCCCTCATATTAGATCTCAGACTGCGTAGAAGATTGACGTGGGTTTTTATAGTCGCCCAAGTCAAGCAACAAATTTTCGATGCCGATTTCCTCAGCGCCTATAGTTTATTAGTTGATATGAGCAAAAGGAAGTTGATCGACGAGAATAGACGTTCGCAGGTGAACGGTACACTTACCACTGACTATGAAATACATGGTATACGAGTAATGAAACCTGTGAACAACCTTTTCGCCGAAATCCTGACGAAATACGAGTGCATAACTAAAGCGGACTACCAAAAGGAATGCAACGCACATCATGTGCAACACCACATTAGCATCACCGGTCCACCCATTTGCGCCAGGGAGAGGAGATTACCACCAAACAAGTTGCAGTCGGCTAAGAGAGAATTCGAACACATGATGCAACTTGGGATCATTAGACAAAATAACAGTCCTTTGGCCTCGCCATTGCACATGGCACCAAAGAAAGACCAAGACTGGCGTCCTTGTGGTGATTATCGCCGTTTGAATAACCAAACCGTCCCTGACAGTTACCCTATTCCACACATACATGACTTTTCATTAAACTTACATGATAAATGTATTTTCTCGAAACTTGACCTTGTGCGTGCATACCATCAAATTCCCATTGCACCAGAAGACATTGAAAAAACAACCATAATTACACCTTTTGGTCTGTTTGAGATCCTAAGAATGCCATTCGGATTAAAAAATGCCGCCCAGACCTTCCAACGATTTATGGACGATGTTACAGAAGGTTTAGATTTCATATTCGCCTATATCGACGACGTTTTGATCGCCAGCTCATCAATAGAAGAGCATGTCCTACAGACCCTCTTCGAACGTTTTAAAAAGCGTGGCGTCGTTATCAACCCTTCTAAATGTATATTCGGCGTCCCAGCTTTGGAGTTCTTAGGACATTAAATCGATTCTCAAGGCATTAAACCACTTCGAAAAAAGTCGAAGCTATTATCAATTACCCCGAACCAACCTCTGTAAAATCATTACGCCCTTTCCTCAGAACGTGCAATTTCTACCATATTGTGCAGATGTATTACAGCCTTTAACAGATTTGCTGAAAAGTGATAAAAAAAGGTACGAAGAAAATCAAATATTCAAGCTACCTTCTGATGCCAAAATGGCATTCAAAAAAGCGAAGTCCATGATCGCCAACGCCACTATGCTACAACACCCAAATACTGACCCCGTAACCCATATGACTCTGTGTACGGATGCGTCACAAAAAGCCGTTGGGGCAGTATTGCAACAGCAGGTAAACAACACGACTACTCCCGTAGCGTTCTTCTCCAGGAGACTGTCACCAACTCCTCCTTGTCTCTTTTTTTCTCTTCCCAAATTTATTTCACTGTATTATACTCTTTAAATAACATTTCCAAACACTAATTTTCCTGATTACTGATTATACTCTTATTACCTCTACCACTACGGGATTTGAATCGAGCACTGCATCTTTGTGCTAATGTGGTGTGGCAACTCGAACTGATGTACGTACGTACGAAGTTCTACGTTGTTACTGACTGACTGACTGACACCAACTCAAGAACGTTATAGTACTTTCCGACGGGAGTTACTCGCCATTTATTTAGTCGTCGAACACTAATTTCTCACTACAAAGGCGTACTTTCATCATTATAAGCGGCCACAAACCTCTGTGTTATTCATTCAACACCTCGTACGATCGACATTCACCTCGCGAAGCACAACAATTGGATTACATCTCTCAATTTACAACAGATATCCAATTTGTCAAAGGACATACCAACGTCGTAGCCGATACACTATCAAGAAAGGATATAAATACGCTGGTACGTAAATAAGATGTCGATCTTGAAGCAATTGCGAAATTACAAGTAGACGACGCAGACCTAAAAAGCTGCAAAGAAAATTCTAACTTGATCCTCAAACACGTACCCATTCTTTTCTCTAACGCATCTATTATTTGGGACGTTTCAACGGGCAGCATTTGCCCATTCTTCCCTCAAGCCTGCCAACGTCAAGTACTTCGACAACTGCACGAACTTTCACATCCAAGAATCAGAGCCACCACTAAATTGATTACTGAGCGTTTCGTGTGGCCGAAGATTAACTCAGATATAAAACGATGGACCCGAAGCTGAATACAATGTCAACGCAGCAAAATTCAGAAACACACAATCAGTCCCGTCGGGAAGTTTCCTCTGCCAGAGAAACGCTTCCAATACATTCATCTAAACATAGTCGGTCCACTGCCACAATCGAATTCATTCACGCATATCCTCACCGCAGTGGACCGGTTCACAAGATGGGCTATAGCATGTCCTATTACCGACACCTCTGCAGAGACAGTAGCCCCCGCAGTCCTTGACCGTTGGATATCAAACTACGGAGCACCATCCATAGTCACTACAGAACGTGGTCCCCAGTTCCAGTCTATCCTATTTCAGGAATTCACAAAACTTCTAGGTGTGAACCACATCATAACAATAGCCTATCATTCATCAGCTAATGGTCTGGTCGAAA